TTTACAATACATTTGGGTGAATACAAAAAATAGAAAAAAAATAGTAGCTTATATATAAGGAGAACTCCGTCCCCCTGTGCACCCCCCAATTCGAGCACTGATTAAATGCCAATCAATGAAAGGTTAATCTATAGTACGAAAAGCAGCATACCTCCCTAATAGAACCTATTTGATTTAACTAATAAAATTTAACCTATATTTTATAGTAGATTATTTAAAATAAAAAAATATAATCATATAATATATACCTACCTTCTATGGTTAATTATATTATTAATAACAGCGTGCTCGACAATCTGATCCATATAATGTTTGGCTAAATCATATACGTGATTTTTAATTTCACTTTGATCAATACTATGCGTAATAGTTTATTGTTAATTAAAAAATAAAAATTCAAAGACACAATATGTTGAGTATGAATACTTACTTTACTAGCTCAAACTCAAAATARTCTCCTAGTTCTTTAGACCTATTCTTAAAAGACTGAAAAAAATCTAACAATTTTATTAATTCGTCATACGTGTGATTCCCCTGTAGATATATGGATAATTTTTCCAATTTTTTTTCATTTACGATTTCACTGAAATCACTTTCTGCAAAAAAAAATTCAAAGGAGAATAAATTAAATCACCATAATATCATCTATTTAGACAAAAAAATATTACCCAACTTATCTAAATATGTTACCAAATTGTTATACATCAAATTTAGCTTCTCCACCAAAGTTAATCTTGCTGCTGATAAGTATTGACTATCACGATTAATAGAGATAAATTGTGAATATTTTGCATTGTTTTCATAAAACGTGTCTAACGATGGTAATTCACTAAATGCATTATTTATCTAAATTAAATAAGACAATATAAATATACAATACGTCATCGATTTTTTTATATTAAAATCCTTAGGTAATCGTGTTAATTATAGTTATGGGATACCTATAATACCTAGCCTATAATAAACTATTTGAATGATTGATAAGTAATAACTATAATACAATTTGAAGTTGTTAGTAGACTAATACTGATTATCACCAAATTAAAAAATCAATTCTGAACACAGCTAGGTACTTGCCTACTTAAATATATTTTTTAATTTTAAAGAAAATGACAAGATCTTTAAAAAATGGTAGATATTTTGTTTAAATATAATCTATAATACGGTATATATTATAAAATATATAAAGCATTGTGAAAATCAAATGTTTTCCATAATAAAAACAATAATTTAAATAAATAAAATCAGTAAAATGATATAGATAGGTATTCAAATACACACTAAATTCAAAACTGAGCAGTATCTATCAATAATTTCTTGCACACTTGGCGTACTGATACATTTTGAACCAACAAAATGTAACTTAATATTTATTTTTGGGATCGTTGTGAAATCTCCAAGTAATTGTACTATACAATCTAACGATTTTAAAATTATTCGTTCAATCTGTAAAAATAATAAATATAGCTAATATTAAAAATGACTTGACATTATAGTTCAATCACCTTACAAATAGGTACCAATATAATTTATATTATAGTATGTACCTATCTGTATAAATGCGATAAAATTTAATTTTAATTACTTAAGTAAAATAGGAATAGGTAATTCCTTAAAATATAAAATTCATTGTCTCGTACTTCCACAAAAAATAAATTTGAGTAGGTATAGGTAATTTAAAATAGGTACGTATTTATTCGTTATACAAATATTTTTTTTATTTTTTGTAGATAACAGGCACTTATGAACTTAATTTAAAATATATTATTAAAGTGGATATTTAATTTTAACTTACAGTTAAACTAATTGTGTAAGTAATACATTTTAGAAACTCCGGAATTCGCTTCAATGCAACGCCAACTGTTGATGTTTTCTCATTTAAAATATTTATAATTTCTTCATACCAATTATTATATAGATCTGTGCATTGTACTTGGAAGCTATTTTCTAAAGTTTTCAATACATCACTAAGGTCTTGAAAAAAATCGTTGGATCTAATAAAAATCCATAAGCCAATGATTTTATATATTGCAGTGATTCAAAATCGTTACATATATTATTCGTTGTTTTTCAATGCAAATACCTACTATACATACCTACACGATTCTACATCAATCATTGTCGTAGGAACTCGTTGCCTTTTAATATATTGGATCTTGATTAATGTTGGATGATATATATATAAACGTTTTACTAAGAGTTTTTTAATTTTTAAAAATAATGGATAATTTTTTGTTTTCCCTCTTAGACTACAGAATTAAAAATACATAGATTATCTTTAGGTGCTTTTTGGAGTTGAATGAACAAAAATAATAATTAATAACTCACGTCCTAGTCAATGGTTTTTCCGGCAGACTTTCGGATTCATATTTTAAGCTCAGAACCGGTAGAATAGTACTATCGACATAAAATTGTTTACCGCTGCTAATGTATTGAGCTTTAATTTCCTCAATCAAAAATCCCAAAATTTTATTTTTTTTCCAACGCATTGACCCTGATTTCTAACAAAGTGATTAATTATTACAAATTAATTTATTTATTTAGAACATCATGGGCGCCCGATTTTTCACATTACATATTATGTATTATATATATTATAATACATTAAATTCATTGGATAGCAATAAAAAACGTGGTTACGGTATAAAAGTGGGTTGTTCGTTAACCATGTGCTTCATACGATGGATAGGTTAATTACGATCGTAGTTTATGGTACGATTAGGCACTGAGAAGGCAGTATGAAAATAGAGGAAACGCTGTGGTACTCTAATATGTATACTGTATAGGAAAGTATGGAGGAATAGACAAACTATAAAACTTCAAAAGAAGTTTTGTAAAAATGGAAAATTTTCAATTGCTTTTCTATCAGCCATTGAATTTAGTTTTAATTCGATGCGAGCACCACGAAATAATCGTGTGGGACATAGTCAATTTTTAGAACATAGAAAGCTAATGATAAAAAAATGTCTTTGGACACGTTCTACTTGGAGAGAGCTTGAAGCTGTATAAAGATCCATAAAACGGAGCCAGTTAAGAAAACTAAAATAAAATAAGCTGAGGAGCAATATAGCAGTTTTAAAGATAACTCAAGTTAACTTAATTTAACTTAACCTAACCAAAACAAGGGCAGTGTTAATGATATTGTATTAAAAACGAAAAACAGATCAACATCTATAGCGTGAACATAGTTTGGCACTTATCAACATTGAGATTTAGCCCTAGTTAATTTAAGTACCTAGGAAACAACATTGTCCGAATTAGATTGGATTAAGTGACAATCGTTTATGCATATTATTTTATTAAACAGTTTAAGGTCGTCTGTGAAACAAGAAGTTGGGCAGTTAGCAGCATTATTTTGAAAACATTTAAGAATGAAGAAAATAATAGTAATCATAAATGGCCGCCTTGGGAACCCTAAATGGTAATTAATAGATATATGGTACTGATTAGTGACTATTTTCCTAATTGTATAAGTATGTAAATGTTTAAGTGCCTATATAATTATAAAGGTAATTATACTGTAATACGGTTAACTTATTGGAAAACAGATTTATTTATTAGGTAAGTGATAATATACAGTATGAAGTACTTACTTCAAGTATATTATCTATCCAGGATTTTTGCATAGGAACGGGTTCTACAGCTTTGGCGCATTTCAATAAATATCTATGATAGTAAATCTGAGGCATGTCAATATTTTCGTTCTGGTGAACAGGTGGCTCCGATTTTTTAGACATCAATAAATTATTTATTTGTTTTTCGGCACGTTCACACCTGAGAAGTGGATAATTATAAATAAAAAAGTAGATTATATTATTAACAACTACTAAAATGTTTATCATATATAAATTTAATTTACATAAAATGTTGAATCGTTCTACTAAGCTCACTCATTTTTGAAATATGTAAGTATGTTTTATAATCGTGATATTGCACGATAGATGAAATATTTCACAGTAATTCTTCACAAATAATTAAACAATGCTAATAAATAAGTTCGATAAGTGGTTTATACAGTTTAGGGCCCATAGAAACGTATATTTTATTTATATTTTATACATTATAATAATATCACCTACTTAATTTATACTTGTATATTATGCACGTTACTATACCTACCTAGGCATCGGCACCTGTTTATTTAGTCTTAAGTGTATATATATAATTATCATTCGTTATACGAATTAATTTTATATATATAAATAGGTACCTATAAAAAAAATAAAAAAATAGGTAGGTAATATATAATTATATTGACTAGGTATTTGACTGTCAAGTACTATTCGGTTTATATCATTGATTAAAAAATATATTATTAATATGTATATTAAGTATATTTAATTAATGGTAATACATCATTATATTATTCATATTATAATATTTGATATCGATATTCATATCGTACATGGGTACCTACTGCTACTATGGATAATAATAATTGTAATTTACAATCAGGGAATTGATTGAAGGATTAGTGATAGTCCATAGAAAAAGATTAATACTACCCAGTCACTACCTAGTCATTATTACCTACCTGCCTATCTGTTATAGATAGATACACCATACACGCCTAAACGTGTACCTATCTATAACAACTTACTTTGAACCGTTTTTATTAGTCGTTTAAAGTTTTTATCACGCAATGATTTAAGTAAATTCCAGAGTAACACATCAAGGCGTTGATTTTTTTCCCTTTAAGTATACATGTTTTAAAGTTTTATGGAATGCTTCTATGCTATATTTTTATTAAGCATTATTTGATGCCGATAGCAAGCTGCCCATAACTTTTTCCTATGTACATATGTTCGATCAAAGTATGCTTTAAAAATATGCAATGTTGGCGCCTCTTCTAATTTATTAAGAAAAGAAGTTAAAAGTTCTTCAAACAGAATTTCATTTGGTTCTTCAAGTAATACACGAAGAGTTTTATAAATATAAGCTTTTATATTTTGAGAACCAGCGATTCTTTTTAAGTTCTTGCGCCAGTTATTGCCAACATGCCACTTACACAACAAATTATGTTGAGGAGTAGGCAACATTGTGTTAAACCATGCATTCCAAAACGCTGGCGCATTATCACTCATAAATATATTTGTACTAAGGCAACCAATTACCTCCCTAATTTTTTTAAAAAAAAACACTCATATATACTTCGTCAATTTTTGTGCTTATACAAAATGCAGCTGGGTATCCTTCTCCAAATTCATCAATTACTACAATTGTAGTTAAATTAAATTGTATTGATTGGTGCCATGTGTAGAATCTATACACAATTTTGCATTACTAAATTTATGCAAAACAGCTTTTTGAGCTTCAGCAAGGATTATTAACATAAAATCGTAAGTCTAATGGATGATATTCTGTTCCTCGGGTTTTATAAAAAAATAATTGGATTAGAAGAACTTTCGTTAAATTTTGTTACTTGAAGGTCGACACTCAAAGCATCAATATCGTGTAATTTATACTTGTGAAGAAATCCTTAGATAAATCTTAAGAAAAACTTAGTGGAAAATAAACATCTTTCCTAGTTTAGATTATTTTTGACAATGTGCATTWTTTATTTATTTATTAATTTACGGAATAAAAATTCCTTATTTAGTACAGCACACAACAATAATGCAATAATTTAACATAACTATAACATTTACAAGAAGCGATGGCCCAAAAAAAAAAAAAAATACAGCAAAATTACAGGTACAATAAATATCTATGAATTATAATAATAGGATATACGTCAATAGATAGCGGATAATTGATAGCGCGACAATTGATAGCGGTCAATTTATAGCGCGTAAATTGATTGCGAGCGACTTTTGATAGTTTGACAATTTGTAGCATACAAAGAATTAGATGACCAAAAAAATAAATATTGCAAGCCTTAATTAAAATTATATATAAAAATCTTTATTAACTAAAAATTATCAAGTATAATATGTTATAACTTATAACTTATAAGTCATAATTTACGTGTCATAATTAAAATTTAGCTGCCTAAAAAAAATATATTATAATATTTTATAAGTAATTTTACATGTCTGTCATAATTAAAATTTAGCTGCCTAAAAAAAATATATTATAAACATTTTATTAAAATTATTAAGTATAATATTTTATAAGTCATTTTACATGTCTGTCATAATTAAAATTTAGCTGCCTACAAATATTATATCTGTAACTGGAAGTTATGTGCTATGCCTCTAAGATAGTCTTCGATTGTTCTATTATCATAATCCAAACAAATTTTTTTGATTTTAGCACTCCGATCTTTATAAATTTTTTTTGATGGTGGTTCCATTCCTGCAACATATTGMTCTATTTTCATTCYRTTTACTTGTTCCTCTTTTTGCAATGCATTTATGAACTTCCATATTGTTGGGTGTGATGAAGAGCAGTGTTGGGTAAATTACTTTTAAAAAGTAATGGAATTACGTTACTCGTTACTTCACATATTTTTATTTAAATTACATTTGCGTTATCTAAAATTATTTTTATCACGTTACGTTACTTTTTCATAAATAAAGTAGTGCGCGGTAGAGCGTTACAAATAACGTTACTTTTTTTTATCTCTGATAACAGTTATCATTTTTTTTTGAACCATATTCAATTCATAATGTGATATATTTACAATATATTTTAGACCTACTGGCTACTACCTAGTGATACCTAGTGACCTAGTGTACAACATTTAAAATAATATGTAAATGTACAATCATCATTCATCTCACCTATTAATTATTATTTATTATACGGCTATAATAATTAGAAATTAGTAAAGTAATTAATTAGTAACTAATTAATTAGTAAAGTAGGTACCTACTCCCTACCTAGTTAAATTTAATTATATACATTTAAACTCAAACTACACATGTCTCTAATACTAAATACAACWATATGGCAAGTTATTTTCTAATAAACAAGTGAAACTAAATAAATCATAATACCCAATTTTATTAATACAACAATAAAAATCATCAGTCTCATCTTGTTTGCGCTTGCCAAAAGTTTTTTCACTTTTTAGTTGCTCTTCAAGTTCCTTAAGTTTTGAATCATGCTTTAACTATACAATTTAGAAGATAAAATATTAATTATATTATTAGAAAATTATAATYTAGGTWAGGTTGGTATGCATTAAAAAACTGTGTACACTTTTTAGTAATATTTTTGTCAAATGATCTAAAATATCCGAAAACAAGTACTTACCTAAAMTTAGCCACTAGCCACTAGGTAGTACTTAGATAAAACAATATTCAGTATTTTACGACCCCTTGGTATACCCCTATATTCTTTAATAATTATGAATTCTACTTACTGTTATGTGTTTTTTTAAATTTGAACTACTTCTTATGGCAGTAGAATATGTTTTGGATTTGATACATAATTTGCATTTCACGAAAAAGTTTTTACTATCCGTAKATGTAACTTCAAAATATTTATTATATGTTGGCCATGGTAGTTCAGTGATATTTGCTACACTTGCTGATACTTCAGTCTCAATTATTTCACTCATTGTTTTAATTTAGAGTTAATATAATTAAACTCAAACTAATATGTTATAATAACTATTCACTAGACACTAGAATATTATTTTATAAACGATGTAGTAAGTAATAAGGTATCTAGTCAACTGTTGAACTGTTACTATTATCTATTTACTAGAACTTTTGGGTCGTGCGAGGTCCGACGATAATAATTCGGCGTATACTTGGGAGATGCAGGTAGTTAATTGTTAAATTACAAAATCAGTCCTKRAMGACTGRAACTAATAAGTAATGGTAAATACTAAATACCCACTAATACCTATGGTATTCGTAAATCGTATTAATATAATAAGTATAATATTTATACTATATGTCTATTTATATAGTATTAATTGGAAATGGTCACTGCAGTCTGGTAAGGTATTAACATCAAGGTAGCCGGTAGGTAGGTATATAAGTCATAAGTCGTAAATCATAATTCGTTTTAATTAAATTTTATTTTTAAACCGAACTCTTTTCTTTCTGATAATGAAAGTAATAACATTAATTCCTGGAATGTTTAATAATATTGTTAACTATTATCAGAATCAAAAGTAAATAAAATTGATTTTTAATTTTTCTGGAATATCTTATTAGCTTATTTTTGTATTACATTCAAAACTATTATTTTAATAAGTAACGTGGAAAATAACGCATTAGTGCGTTACTTCATAGAAATTACTTTTAAAAAGTAAWTGCGTTACAATTGCGTTATTGTAAGTAAAATGTAATGAAATTACTGCTGCGTTACTGAAAAAGTAATTGCGTTACAGTAATTTGTAATTTGCGTTACGTTACTACCCAACACTGATGAAGAGTTTAACATTGCAGAAAAACAATTGTGCCACCCTTCTACGGAGTTATTTGTTCGGGGTAAATCAGCAGATACTAAATTATAGCAGTTCCAKATATTTATTGGAAAATTAGGTTCTCTTCTTTTTTTACTTCTGTGTAAACGACCAATCCAATTTCCCTCAAAATAATCTATTAATGGCATCAATACCTCTTCATTTTGAATATAAAAATCTGTGTCTAAAAGTTTCTCAAATGCATCAACAACTTTATTTGTTGGTACATACGCCAAAGCTGGTAACATTCGTATGTATAATGCAAAATCTGAATTTTCTCTATATTTTTTTTGTAATCCAGTTTCTTGAACGTGACGCCATACACATTGGGATAAATGAAAAAAACATCCATTTATAGATGCATTTGGAAACTCAAATTTGACAGCATTCATTGCCCCCTTTTCAAAGTCCATCATTATATTAAGCGGGCTTAAATTAGATATTAATGACTTTAAAGCTTGAAACATTAATTTATATGTATTTTCCTTTTTATCGGGTAGTAAAACATACACAGAAGGAATAACGTTCGAATAATAAACAGCGTGAATAGTATAAAGTTGTTGAAATATTTGAGGGGCACATGAGAATGTTCCGTCACAAAACCAATTGCCACAGTTAACCATTAATTCGAGGTTCCGTTTTGTACAGAATAATAGAATTCGATTTGTCTCAGATTTATTATCAAATTGTAAAAATTGCTCACCATTCGTTGTTTTCGTGAATTGGTCTGGAATTTCAAAATTAAAATTTTGAGGATTAATTGGAGCTCCTAAATGAGATTGAYGAACTCGCTGAACGGTTCTTTTTAAAGTTGGCACATTCGGTAATTGTCCAGCAACTGAAGCAGATACCTTAATAATAAAAATAATATTAATAATAATAACTTAAAGAAATAATAATATAGTATGTACCTGAGAAGCAAGTGTTCCAATGACTGAATGCGTGGAATTAGATKTACATTTTGCATTTAWTTTCATCTCATTTATTGCAGTTTTAACTTCTATTTGAGTAATATCAGGAACATGGTTATGGTCAATTTTTTTTGAAATTTTCTCATTATCGATATCACCAATAACATGAACGCRGCCTCGGCATTTATTTTTAAAACGTACGCATCTCCATATTTTCTTTTGTACTCCATTTTTTTCGAAATGGTACATGAAACCTTCATCAACTAATATATTTGAACCTCTTTCACTTTTTACATATTTTAAAGACATTTTAAAATTACTATATTATATAGGTAATTGTTAGAAGTAGTACTGTTGTATGGTGTTGTACCGACTGACAACTGATATAGTTTATGGTACAGGTACTATAGTGTAGGTATTGAATTGTCTCATTATCCATATTATTTTAGATAGTAATATCTATTAAGTTTCCAATCATGATATATTTTATCGGTTTTATTTGGTTTTTTTCGGTTGAAATTATTTTTGAATTCTATACGACGCTACAAATTGTCATACTATCAAAAGTCGCTCGYAATCAATTTACGCGCTATAAATTGACCGCTATCAATTGTCGCGCTATCAATTATCCGCTATCTATTGATGGGACACCTAATAATTAGGACACAAATACAATTATATACATGATCTAACAAAATAATAAAAAGATACAACAAGGTCAACAATATCAAATTAAGGTGAACAAAGAAAGGTGAAGTTCTCGTTACCCAAACGCATCATGCGGTCAATTGGTTTGTTTCTACCGTAATTGGTGCGATGAAAAGGTACTTTAAAAGGAACTCGAGACTTTGTGGAAAGATGTGTGGAACTTTAAAGTTTACTTGTACGAGCAGTGAAGGGGCATTTATAGAACCATTGATTAACTTTCCCAAAAAGCCTAGGTTAGCTTTAACGCGTCTGTCTGCTAAGGATGTAAGGTTAAGTGCGTGAAATACTGGAGTATAGTTGACGTGGCTACGTCGATGTTGATATGGCTGAGCGTCGGCCGGTCAAGGTGTGGTAATTGGTGTAGGTAGAGGTGACACTTAAAACAAAAACAACTGTCACTCTGGGTGGTCAATACGTTGCGTTTTATTTGAACACACAAAATGAATACGACTGGTACCAGTGGCTTTAGTGAGTCGGTTTCGTCGACGGACGTGTACGCGTCTCAACGGTCGGACGAAAAGTTCCTTGTCGCGACGACGTGTCCACAGTCTAGTTGGTGCAAAAGTCGCCGATGGCCGACGGCCGGTATTCGTCGGGCGCGATTTGTCTTCCCGTCCCGCCTAGCCTTTTCGGCGTGGAGCGAGAGTCGACGGTGTCGCGTCGTTGTCACCCGTGGCGGTGGTTGATAAAGTCGTAGATCGGTCGCGGTGGTGCTTGTACTTTGTACTGGATGCTGCTGCGTACCGTGTCATAGTCATGAGGAGGATGGACAATTTTTAGGATGTATGCTCCAGACGACAAAAAGCGTCTTTGAACTCGCTCTAAGTGGTAAGAATCAGTTACCACAAATGGGTCCCAGAGCACAGATGCATACTCTAGTAAGCTTCGGACTAAATAGCAATGGACAGTCTTGAGAGATCCAGACAGTTTGAACTCTTTCATGGTGCGAATTATGAAGCCCAGTGACTTGAGTGCTCGGCAGCAGATGTAGTCAATGTGAGGGCGGAAGTTAAGATCAGCAGTGAAAATAATGCCCAAGTCGTTATTGCTTGTAACTCTACCAACCACTGAATCATTGATAGTGTAAGAATAATCGATTATATTTATGATGAAGTAATAACATTATATTATATAAATCTTTTGTTAATTAATTGTAGTATTTAATGATTGGAAAGAGAGGGAAGAAACATGCAAAATACAACTACAAAATTTGTTCAACACAGATGGATAAAATTAAATAAAACTAAAACTGTAGCTACAAAAAAGTACAACTATTATCATCGTTCAAGAGTATTTCATAGTAAAAATATAGGGAAACGTGCCTTATTAATGTGCCCTGTTTTGCCATTGTATTGTGATTTGTAGTCATGACAAAATAATTATGTATATTTTGTTATAGACATTATGCTGTTATGGTATAATTTAAATAATTTAATATTTAAATTTAATATCAATTATACTGATAATTCATTTTGATTTACAATTTTTACTAATATTTGTCGATCCTTCACTGTAGTTATAACATTTCCACATTGAACTAGATCTTGTACTGCTTGTGAATAAATAATTAATGWATCACTTTCTTTTATTCGATCGTCCGTAATTTGTATTGGAACTACCATTTCACATATTGGTGGTATTATTGCAATGTCGTCATTGTTAATATTTTGAATGTTTTGATTTAATACTGTGGAGTCGCCTTCAATCACTGTTGACGTAATCTCCTTTTTTTCATAGTCAATTGCTATTTTATTGTCTTCCAAAAATTCTTTACCAAAGATTCCATCATGGGGTATTGGAAAATTATTACTTATGACTTGAAATCTTACTTGTCTTTTTTCTTTTCCAAAATACAATGTTAAACTTGTCGAACCGATTGTGTTAACAAAAAATTCGTTGATACCTTTTAATCGATATACAATTTTTTCGTTAACTCTTACATTGTCCTTAAGTGATAATAATTTAATTATATTTATTTCGCTACCTGTGTCAACCAAAAACTTTGAGTCTTGATTAACAAATTCTGTAGATTGACATAAAACATGATCTTTAAAAAGTTGAGCCTTTAATTTGAATGATCTAAAAATTTTACGGCTGTTGCTTTGATTTCCTGGACCGATCGTACGCCGTTCTGAATCGGCMCTGTTTCGTTTCCCGAAGTTGATTCAGCATTAAAACTTCCTTGACCTGCCTTTTTCTCATTATTGTATTTTAATTTTTTGCATACTCCAATTTCATGACCTGGTTTCTAACAATATTTACAAAAAATTGTTTTGTTATTATAGCTAGTACTGCTTTCTGCAGTTTGTTTATGCATATTCGCTGACCAATTGTTTTGTTTTGAATTTTGGCCTGTATCTGTGACCCAGTTTTTTTATTGTCTTGCGGTTTTTTTTTAAATTTGTGATTTGATTTTGACCAACATACCTTCACCGTGTGGCCTACTTTTCCACAATTAAAACATGTCATTTTCCCTGCTTCTTGTTTTGGCATTTTTGACTGTGTTTTCTTATCTGATTCATATGACATTTCCTCTTGTTGAGCTTCTGCTAGTGCTTCCTCAATTGTGCTTGGATGACTTGCATTCACCATCATCTTTACCGGTTGTTTCAATCCTTCTACAAAGATACTTAATGTCTGCGACTTTAAAATTTGTTCTATGACCTCTGCCACTTCTGTATTTTTATCTTTAGTTTGGACATTTAATGTTAAGTGAAATAATTTCTCTAATCTCTCATAAAACGTACCAACATCCTCATCGAATTTCTTCCGAGTTGTTGTTAATTCTAACAGCAAATATGTAGAAGTATTCCGTGGCTCAAAACAATTTTTTAAAGTTGCCTTAAACTCCTCCCAAGTGCTAATTTATTTAAACCGAATAATTTGAGCCGCCTTTCCTGTTAAATTTGCAATCAATGCACCTAACATCACGGGTCTTAAACTTTCATCGATACATGACAAAGCAAACTCTGCTGACCTTATAAAATTTTGTAGATCGTCAGAGTCTTGCTTTTCAAATTTTGGTAAGATTCGCAATGCCGCCTCCATAGAARTTATCAAACTCATGTTGTCAKACTCTGAAACCACTTGACTAGACTCCCGAGAAAAAATATAAACTTGCGTGCTAGAGTCAAATGAGAAAGTTTTCTCTAGAATATTAGATATAACCCCTGCGGGAACTTTTACCCGTCTACGTTGAATTGATAGATCTAGAGTATTTCGACCACTAACGGGATTCTGTAAACCTAATAGAGTGCTTGTACTTGGTAGTGGATCTACTAACTGACTACTACTGATACTACTACTTTTGTTTGGTGTTGATTGTCCAGCTCTACTGTCGTCGGAYTCAAACGACTTATCTGGTACAAAAGTTAAGTCCTTACTATCGTCTTTTGTATAAGAACTATCGTCACTCATTAATCATAAAAAAAAAATAAAAAAATGGGTGTTTCTAACTATAAAAATTAAACTTACATTAATATTACATATAACATTGTCGAAGTTGGTAGTCCGGAATGCTCCTTAATTGACTTGACTGGAAATGCCCTGAAGTTGAAAATAGAATGCTCTGAAGACTGGAATGCTCTGAAGTCTGAATAAAATGCTCTGAAGTTCGAATTGAATGCTCTGAAGTTTGAATAGAATGATGTGCCTTGACTCGTTCAATAATAATTTAAACTTAAAACTGCTTAATTAAAAATCCTGTGTTTGCTACAATGGTTCGTTTTTCCGCTGCCACCAATGTTACAAGTCGGTTGACCGTAGCCTCGTACTCGTAGAGTTTTGAACTCAAGTATGTGTGGGTAATGATAATAATATTATCAATTGATAAGATGTTTAGATATAAGATAATATATGAATGAAACAACAAGAAAGTGAGGTTATACTCGACAACAGTAATGTAGTGTTACAGTCAGAATTACAATAAACACATGTATTTCACTTTTAACAAATTGTCTTTTAAATAATAAAATATAGACAATTAAACAAAGTATATATTTAAAATAACAAACACGAACTAAATAAGTTATCAGTTAGTTTTATTAATTGAATAGGTATAGACACTGGGTGCTGTCCATTTCCAACTCCTCTTCATATCATCTTATCGTACCTTATATTTAAATTTAAGTAGGACAATCCCTCCTATATAATTAGTGCATACTTGCAGATTTGGGATTGTACTTTATTTATGCAAAACTATAATAACATTTTCATTTCTTAATACTAATTGTTTTACAAACATCATTGTTTAATCCTACACTATATTATATCCGGTACCTACTATACTAGTTATTTATACTTTATAGTTAGTTATTCATAACAGACCATTCCTCGTAATACAACGGACAAACAAAACTTATTAAGTGAACGCCAATGGGAAGGCAGTCAACATCTCAATTGATCGACTCAAACCAGCATTCTTGCCCAATGAAGATGAAACGAAGCACGATCACTCATATGCAGCCATAGATAATATATAATGGATAGGCCATAATGGTTATCAGACGTTCTTCGATTTTCTATCTCACTCAGCAAAAGAGTTTACACTCCATAATATTTCAAAAATATCCTTCCATGAAAATTAATTGAAATTTGAATTT